ACATTGTTTTGTAATAATTTTTCTCAATAGGCCCCTGGCCTAGGACAACACAAGATTGTTTGGTGCGATGTAAAGTTTTGACACAAACGATTTTCCCGCATTTTGCTGAACAAACCCTGTAAAACCTTAATGTGTACCATTAAAATTTCGGCATACTTTACACCACCATTGTGCTTCCTGTGTGCATGACATTTAAAAGCCAACTGCGCAAACACTTCAAAATATTTTATGCTTATTAAGCGGTGTGCTTTATGTGGGGCCTTTAAGTGCAAAGCATCCAAAGTGTGCGTCAGTCTGCATTTGCACAGTATACACAAGAGAGGAGAATGCGGCTGGACAGCTTTTTTCATACCTTGCAGCATATAGCTGAAGGATTCTCTAATTTTGCTTATACTGGGCATTTCACCACACAGGACGTACTAACACAAGCTTGGAGGTCGCACACGCAGTCTAAAAAAACGATTACATCGCGTTTTTTTTTCGTAGCACAATAAAACGTTGTGTAATCATAATGATAACATCAATGGGACTAAACAAGATTGCATTAAAGGTCTCATTTGGGTCTGTTTTATACCGCACAGCCAATGTGTACACAAGTCAACTAGCTCTACATATGCCGCTCAGCACACCACTGCTAGGCTCAATCAGATAAGCATCACACTTGCCGAGCTTGAAGTACAGTCGTGATCTATACGAAGGTGAACAAGCAATCGGCGACGGCTCGGTACTGGGAGCATCATGCAGCAGCTGACTTGCTCTCCTTTTCAAATGCCTTGCGAACCAAGTGTAGTAAGTCGTCTGATAAGGAGAGAACGTCACCACAGACGGCACTGAGCAGCTGATACTCACCTGTTTACCTTCATATAGATCAAGTCTCTACCTGGCCGAAGTATCCAGTGTGTGTGCAGCACCGGCGGCTGTATTGAAATCTCAAGAGGATGAAAGTTAAGAAAAGGCTTGGTAAGGTTTAACATTGCAAGTATGCCCATGCAAATTTCACTTTCTAAAACATAAAAATGCATTTCAAATTGTCACCCAAGACAAGCTGCTATTACACAGCTGTATATATAAGGCAGCTTACCCATCAACAACCTTTGCAGACTGTCATGGACCTGATCCTCGGCCTAGTCGATGCCAGCTTCTGTTCTGCGAGGGCTGCACTGATTAAAAAGGTGGAAAACGGCGGTGTAGATTTTGTGAAACCAAACAAACAAAAGCAATCCTAGCAGGCACAATTCGCTAGAGGCACTGACAAATACAAATCAGAGGTTGGGTAAATTGAGTTAATGCGATATACTTCAAACGCGTACCATGAGTGCAGGCAAAATATTTGTTGCCTTCAATCTAGATAAGCTTGTAAGTTTACATGCCAAATAACAAATAACTTAAACGCTGAAATATATTTCAATGGAACTACAAAAACCTAAGACTAGCTCTGCAAATAAGGTGCTATCTAGTAAACCATAGATGAGTAGAATCGGATTACAGCGTCCCCCTTTCAAAGACTGAAGCAAAACAAGTATAGAGTCTGCAAGGCCACTACAACAGAAACGATGGTATTGTGATCTCGTGGAGATCAGAGTTCGGAACAAGTGTGACAGGCTTTGGCATGACAAATATGCAAACGGCATTATTCATATTTGCATATTCTACTGTGACAGTGGAGGGAAACAATCACACACCAGATACTCAGAAAGACAAGCACACGCACTAAAGTTATAGCTCTTGTGTATTCGACTACTTCATTCTCCTCTTCAATGTCTGGATTGAATTTCCAGAACGTGATAAGCAGAAGAAATATAACTAAATACAAGAAAAAAGCAAAAGACAAAACAAACAAAAAAAGTAAAAAACGAAAAAGGAAAACCTTTACGATTCATCCTTCTCCCTTACCGCTATCGTTTAGATAGAAATTTGAGCTCTTTGGTCGACTGCGCTATAGAAGTACTACTTACACACTTGTTCTTCGGATACTTTATTATTTGCGCTTTCATTATTTCTCTTGTCAATGGTGCTCAAATCCTATCTACTACGGAACAATTTTCAAAATATGCTGCGCAACCACAATCTTGACATCAGATTCCCAAATGTTCACCGACGACTCGGTGGTTAATATAAAAATGCTCCCTTAATCGATCATTCAAACACCTGCCAGTCTGGCATGTATGCCAGACTGGCAGTTGTTTGATGATCGTTTAAAGGAGCATTGTTATAACACCCACCGAGTCGCCACTGGGCATTTGGGAACCCACTGTCCGGATTGTGGTTGTGTAACACATTTTGAAAATTGTTCCTAATAGTTAAGAGTGGAGACCCATTGCCAATAGAAATAAAGGAAGTGCAAAGAGTACAGCACATATGAAGAACAAGTGTGTAAGTAGTCCTTCTATTGTGTTGTCGACCAAAAAGCTCCCATTTCCATCTTAAAGATAGCGGTAATGGAGGGGAATGACTTGTAAAGGCTTCCTATTTTCGTTTCTCCATTTTTTTCTGTTCTTTGCTTTTTTCCTTGTATTTTGTGCTATTCTCCTTACCACGTTCGGAAAGGTCAGTCTAGACGTTGAAGAGAAGAACAAAGTAGTCGAATACACAAGATTTGTCAGTTCAGCGCGTGTGCTTGTCTTCCTGAATATCTGGTGTGCGAATGTTTCTCTGCGCTGTCACCGTAGAACATGGTTCATCAACTCGCCCAAGCATCCATTTTATAATTCCTGCAACAATAAAATGACTCTGAAAGTACGAGCACCTACAGGGTGTATTCACGCAAGTCTTGCAAGTGTTGAGTTGTAGGTACAGTACCCTGGTTGTGTCCATGTGCGAAAGATGACCAAGTACCACAAAGACTAAGACTGCAAACTTCTCCGAAAACCAATGGGCGCGGTGGCGAGCGGCAAAAGGGGTGCTGTTCACCACTGTCGCCGTTTGTCCGTGTTTGTGCTGCTACTAACAAGCGCACCAATGAGAAGGCTTCAGCCATTATTGGGAACACTAAATAAACAAATACAAAATACACATACAACACACAGCACTACTGGATGCAAGTAGTGACGCACTTCTGTTAGGGTTCTGTGGATATTTATAGAGCGTGTAGTTGGTAAGCCATTTCAAAGTTGCGATGAGTTGCTCGCTGTAGATGAGAAATTTAGCCAGTGCAGTATGACTGCCAGCCTGGAATCTTCAACCTGCACCACGTAGTAGTGATACATGACCGAACGCCGGTACGATGCTCATCCAGATCGAAATGGGCAGGGGTGGGGATTGAACCCAGGATCCTTGAGTTCTGCAGCGCAAGCTTTCGCTCCACGTGCTCCAAGTTGGTGTGCGCTAGGCCAGTCAGCCACGGATTTCCCAGCGCAAGGCAACGCAACGCACTACTGTTGTAAACTCATAATTCCACTTACGAATGAAATACGCAATTCCCCTACAGGCTTTCATTCCAAGTCAGTAGCAACAGAATTGCTAAAGGCCAGCCCATAAATGCAGTCTGTGTTAAAAGCAATACTAGGAGCAATAAGTCGCTATTATATTACTCAATATAAAGAGCACCTTACCGTAAACAGCCATCGCAGTCTTCCATCAAGCCAGGACTTCAGCAGGGGAGACTCATTTTTTGTCGCCTCAGGCCACTCACATCAGGATGGCGAAAGTGAATGCCAACGTCTAATTGGGAAAGGCTGCAGTACCCTATCGAACAATCCTGTAACGTTTTACATGAATCTTATGGGAAGGTGTTTCCTGTACATTTTTCTACGGGAAGTCCTACAGGAAACAGTTTCGTGTAAAAGAATTTACAGGAAATCTGTAAGGAAGGTGTTTTCTGTACATTTTTCTACAGGAAATCCTACAGGAAGCCGACTCCTGTAAAAGATGTTTTCAGGAAATTTTAAAGAAAGGTGTTTCCTGTATATTTTTCTACAGGAAGTCCGACAGGAAGGCCACACCTGTAAAAAATGTTTACACGAAATCTTAGAGGAAGGTGTTTCCTGTATATTTTTCTACAGGAAGTCGTACAGGAAGGCGACTCCTGTAAAAAATGTTTACATGAAATCTTAAAGGAAGGTGTTTCCTGTAACTACAGGAAACAGTTTCGTGTAAAAGAATTTACAGGAAATCTGTAAGGAAGGTGTTTCCTGTACATTTTTCTAAAGGAAGTCCTACAGGAAGGTGACTCATGGAAAAAATTTTTCCAGGAAACCTTAAAGGAAGGTGTTTCCTGTATATTTTTCTACAGGCAGTCCTATAGGAAGGCGACACCTGTGAAAATTTTACAGGAAATCTTAAAGGAAGGTGCTTCCTGTATATTTTTTCTACAAGAAGTCCTACAGGAAGGCGACTCCTCTAAAAAATGTTTACAAGATATCTTAAAGGGCCCCTGAAAAGAAAAAAAAAAGTTTTTTTAAACAGTCTGGTTGGGACACGCGTGTCAAAAAATAAATTATACGCGAAAAAAAAAATGTTTAGAGCAATATTGGCTGCGCCAGACGCAATTTAGTCGGTAGTCACCTCCTTTCCACTTCTTCTCTCTCTCGGCATTTCTGGCGCGTGGAGGAGAGGTACTCCCCACCCCTTCGTAGTGGATCGGCTTGGCTGCTTGGCTGCGCCCCGTACGAGAGCCATTGCTACTTCCTGTATCTGCCGGTCGCACGCCGTACCACGTCGTACCGTGAACGTACCGTGGTCACCGTGGTGCCGTGGTCGTGCAGACTAGACAGTACATAGTCGTCGCAATGGACCCTGACCTGAAGCGTCGGTTGCTTCAACGCTGCCAGGAATTGGGCCTTCGCCCGTACGAGGACACGCCTCGCCAGCCGGAAGGCGTCCGCGCCGATCGCCGCGAGACAACCGCGCGCGAAGAATCTGCCGCGGAAGGCGGCGAAGCGGGTGCCTCGACGAGCTCGTCCGAGCCGCACGACCCTTCAAGCCGCCGTGAGGACACGCAGTGGTAACTGATATTTTTTTATTAAACGGTGAGTGCGGTGTCGGGTGCCTTCACTAATCAGCCACTAACTGTCCCTTTGGGTACCGTAACTGGCGAGGGTGGCGATAAATGTGTTATGCTGGTATTGACTGGCACGATATTGTATGCTACAAGGTGCAGTTGCGGCCACTGCGTTGTGATGCCCACGACGCGAGAGTGCCTGTGCTGTCAAGAGGTCAGCCAGGTCACCGCCAAGGCCGGCAACAAGTGCATCACGCGCCACAAAGACTTTTTTGGTGCCATCCTGAACCCCGTCGTCCTCCAGATTGCTTATGGCATGAGGGCAATGGAGCTGCACGACGGGGAACTCCTCAGGCAGAGAACGGCCCATAAGTAAGGTTGAATATGCAGAATGTAGGCCTGCATGAATGTTTTTATCTGCAAGTTCGGCCTAGTCTAATCTGCTGGTTGATATTCAGTTGACTAATTCTCCCCGAGATCGCATAATTTTGTGACAATTTTATGCATGCATACTTCTCTTCCTTCCAACAGGAAATACAGGTATGTGGCATACCGTCAGTTCTCCAGGTGGATATGGCAGCGGCTTGGCAAAGGCAACAGGAAAGTCCTGCCCTCCTGTGTCATCCAAGCCATCCGAACTGCCTATCCGTCTGAAGTATATCGGGGGTTTGCGTATCCCGCTTTGTAAACGTATACAGAGCACAAGCTCTTCTGCTTCATGCACACAGGGAGTTATAATGTCAGTGCACCGAGAACTTGGTGGCTTATTGAAGAAAATAGTGGGTAGACCTCTAAGCATCTAGCATTGAGGTCTACCCACTGTTCTTACTGACAAAGCCAATCTGAGCTCGGCGCCGTCCTCACGTCACCGCAACTCATGCCCAAGAAGCAGGCGACTTTCTTTCTGCGTTGGTTCCGCTAGGATCTACTGGACGACCTATTCCTACTGGACCATAACCCGATACACCGAATACAGATAAAAAACCTTTATTGCAATTTTCGCTAGGGCTAGCCACAGTTAACTTTTAAACTTTTACTGCACTAGCAAGTTATCAAACCCCCATGAAGGTTTGCCTCCCCCCTAAGCACGGTTCATAGACCGCATTTCCCCCTCCACTAAGCCCGCAACAAAGAAGCTGCTACTGTGCCTGCATGCCATTGGTGTCTTCCGCTGGACTTGTACTCCAGTCATGTTACTGTACCTTCAGAGTGAACTGGTGTATTTTACGCAACAGGAATGCAGTGTTGCTGTGCTGAGGCCTATAGAAATAAAAGAAGTTGCAAGCTGATCGTTGTGTGACGTATTCTTTATTATCAAAATGAAAATGTTTTACATATATGCTGGGGAAGGGGTGTTTAGTATATAAAAAGGGAGGTTGTTTTAGTAAAGCCTCAGAATATTGGCCTCTGCATTGTAGGCTCCATTGCATAGTGGTCTATTGTTTCATCACTGGCACTGGGAGGGTTGTTTCTTTTTTGGGGGGGGGGATGTTGGGGATGTGAGAACATGCATAGTATAGCCACTCAAACTAGAGACAAAACAAGGGCAGGCACAAGAACATACAAATAATCAGTCACAGCTTATGTGCATGGAAGAAAAGTAATCGTAGAGAGAACCCCCTGTGAACTTGGGGTCTGCCTGCGACATAAAAAAGGCACACACTGGCAGCAAACAAGAACTTACCTCTGCTGTAAAGAAAGCAACAATGCAACAAATTATTCGAATAAATGTGACTAGACAGAAAGCGAGGCAACAATGCATGCTGAAGAGACTGGCCGCCCTTGAGCTCCAAGGGAACGTTCAGGTTCCGAGCGTGCACCTGCAGCTTGCAGGGATAAAAAATATGCTTCGTTATCTTCCCTACCTCATGGCCAGTGGCTAACGGCTGGCAGCGGGGAGGAGAGCCCTCTTGTGAACCTGGGGTCTGCCTGCGACATAAAAAAGGCACACACAGGCAGCAAACAAGAACTTACCTCTGCTGTAAAGAAAGTAACAATTTATTCGAATAAACGTGACTAGACAGAAAGCGAGGCAACAATGCATGCTGAAGAGACTGGCCGCCCTTGAGCTCCAAGGGAACGTTCAGGTTCCGAGCGCGCACCTGCAGCTTGCAGGGATAAAAAATATGCTTCGTTATCTTCCCTACCTCATGGCCAGTGACTAACGGCTGGCAGCAGGGAGGAGAGCCCTCTTGTGAACCTGGGGTCTGCCTGCGACATAAAAAAAGGCACACACAGGCAGCAAACAAGAACTTACCTCTGCTGTAAAGAAAGTAACAATTTATTTGAATAAACGTGACTAGACAGAAAGCGAGGCAACAATGCATGCTGAAGAGACTGGCCGCCCTTGAGCTCCAAGGGAACGTTCAGGTTTCGAGCGTGCACCTGCAGCTTGCAGGGATAAAAAATATGCTTCGTTATCTTCCCTACCTCATGGCCAGTGACTAACGGCTGGCAGCGGGGAGGAGAACTCACTTGTGAACCTGGGGTCTGCCTGCGACATAAAAAAAGGCACACACAGGCAGCAAACAAGAACTTACCTCTGCTGTAAAGAAAGCAACAATGCAACAAATTATTCGAATAAATGTGACTAGACAGAAAGCGAGGCAACAATGCATGCTGAAGAGACTGGCCGCCCTTGAGCTCCAAGGGAACGTTCAGGTTCCGAGCGTGCACCTGCAGCTTGCAGGGATAAAAAGTATGCTTCGTTATCTTTCCTACCTCATGGCCAGTGACTAACGGCTGGCAGCGGGGAGGAGAGCCCTCTTGTGAACCTGGGGTCTGCCTGCGACATAAAAAAAGGCACACACAGGCAGCAAACAAGAACTTACCTCTGCTGTAAAGAAAGTAACAATTTATTTGAATAAACGTGACTAGACAGAAAGCGAGGCAACAATGCATGCTGAAGAGACTGGCCGCCCTTGAGCTCCAAGGGAACGTTCAGGTTCCGAGCGTGCACCTGCAGCTTGCAGGGATAAAAAATATGCTTCGTTATCTTTCCTACCTCATGGCCAGTGACTAACGGCTGGCAGCGGGGAGGAGAGCCCTCTTGTGAACCTGGGGTCTGCCTGCGACATAAAAAAGGCACACACAGGCAGCAAACAAGAACTTACCTCTGCTGTAAAGAAAGTAACAATTTATTTGAATAAACGTGACTAGACAGAAAGCGAGGCAACAATGCATGCTGAAGAGACTGGCCGCCCTTGAGCTCCAAGGGAACGTTCAGGTTCCGAGCGTGCACCTGCAGCTTGCAGGGATAAAAAATATGCTTCGTTATCTTCCCTACCTCATGGCCGGTGACTAGCGGCTGGCAGCGGGGAGGAGAGCCCACTTGTGAACCTGGGGTCTGCCTGCGACATAAAAAAGGCACACACAGGCAGCAAACAAGAACTTACCTCTGCTGTAAAGAAAGCAACAATGCAACAAATTATTCGAATAAATGTGACTAGACAGAAAGCGAGGCAACAATGCATGCTGAAGAGACTGGCCGCCCTTGAGCTCCAAGGGAACGTTCAGGTTCCGAGCGTGCACCTGCAGCTTGCAGGGATAAAAAATATGCTTCGTTATCTTCCCTACCTCATGGCCAGTGACTAACGGCTGGCAGCGGGGAGGAGAGCCCTCTTGTGAATCTGGGGTCTGCCTGCGACATAAAAAAAGACACACACAGGCAGCAAAGAAGAACTTACCTCTGCTGTAAAAAAAGCAACAAAGTAACAATTTATTTGAATAAATACGACTGACAGTGACACCAAAAAAAGGCATGCTACAAACCTTGCCTTGCAAAGTTGGGTCGCTTCCTCTACTTCAGTGAAAACATGTTACACAGACAGACAATACACTCATGCACCTTGCAGGAAAAAAAAAAAATCTGCTCCATCCGTAGCATACCTTATGCCATAAACAAGTAACTGGTTGCTGTGAAGAGAGTGCCGTAGGTGGTTCAGATGAGCTTCTGAGATGATCTGCAGTGCAAATTTCAGTGTGAGCTACACCACACAATAGCCAGCAGCCACCGACTATTGTGGAAGGCAAAAAACTCGAGGTACACCTAAGCATTTCTTACGAGTTGTAAATGCGAAAGCATGCAAGCCGCTCCCTTTGTCGTCTGCTGCGTACTGAAAAAACTCGATCTTAGTCTTTCTTGTACAGTTATCGCACATTACGCCATCCTAATAAACATTGTCATCTTCTTCCTTGGCTTTTGTTCAAACATGGCGTACGGCTCGTTCCTCGCACCGGAGTTCTATCACGTACTAGCGCGCGCGCGCTTCGGGAACTCGGAGGCCATGGATCTCGGAGGCCGCAGCGGCCAATGGGAGCTCCGTCGACGCACGCCAGTCAATGGAACCGAAGGCGAATCACTCTTATTGGGGTCGCGGCAGAAACTAGGAGCCGTTTTTGCGTTTCGGTCAGGTCGCTCCATGAGACCAGTTAATGCTTTCGCATTAAAACACAAAACAATTATCTGTGCCTTCACTTCGATGAAGGGGGGGCTACGCTTTTGTTATATTTTTGCTGTTAATCAAGCAGCCACGCTACCAGAAATGTTAACTACTCGTGTGAACATACCCGGCATGAGAGGCAAACCGGGTTCGTCTTGCCACGATCAGCTCGCTCTTGGGGGGCCTTGGATAGCTGGCACACATGGGCGGCGGATGGTCCGGCGGATTCGCAGCGACGGCCTCCTTCAAGGTGGGCCATTTCCCCAGGCAGACCATTAACTCGTCCAGGAGCTCGTCACGGTACTCTGCAAGTCGATATCTCGTGTCACGGTTTTGTCACCCACTGTTTCCACAATAACATACGAAAAGTTGCGTCGGCTGGCTTCGGGCGTGCCGTTGAGTGGCCCTTCCGTGATCTGGGTGTTGCGATCTTGAAGCAAAGCTCCCCTTCCCTGGTTGTGGCTTGCTCACGCCCGACATTTTCGTTGAAATGAAGCACAGCCACCAAGGTCCTACAATAAAGACAGACACAGCATGGGGCCGAATTAACGCAAGAGTATAAGGTTTCAACAGGGCACAAATTTCATACACTAAATGGAGTAGCACATTCAAATTTGAAAAGCTAGTCCAAACTTGATGATAAATTATGAAGCCTTGTTTACAGGGTGCTGGCTTGAAAACAACCAACGGAACTTTTGACCTTGCTCTGCTCAGGCTTGTCCTCCCAATTACAAGCAATGCACAACAGCAGAAGCGCGCAAAGTGGGGGTCGTGGGGCCTCAGGGAGCCGAGGGCACGTTGGCATTATTTCAGATATTTTACTCGCAACTTCCCAAGCAAGCCATCTTCAATACACTGCACTGCAAGCTTTACAGCATTGGGCGCGTTCAGTAGCGCCTCCATTGCCTCCGAACGGAGTGACTCGAGTCGGAGTCCTACTGAACCTACTGAACGGCAAAAAAATCCGCGGCTCCAAACCCGCTTCTGCACAGTTTCTGCTTCCTCCCTTGTGCCAGACGGTCTCCGAATAAACTGGAAGCAGGCGATGGCGAGCACGATCGCTTCTATTTGACGCCGGTATTGAAGAAGCCTTGACAAGGTCGTTGAAGAAAAAGCGGGTGACTGTAGATATCAGTGCTGCTGTTCGAAGTGATGCAACGCGATCGAGCCCTTCGCTTGGCGGTGCAAAGGCAGCTACTGTTATAAAAGGCAACAAAAACGTCGTCGGCACACGCAAAATAGAGAG